ATAGGTTTATGTATGGACATGTATGTCAGTGGTAAAGATATCGATTATCATAGAGTCGGTATCGATAGGGTATTTCATTGATATTTAGATGTCGATAATGAAAGTGTGTCAGGATCAATCGATATTTTAAAAGGAAGTTATCTTTTGCATTTTGTGTTTCTGTCATAACTAGAATTTGTGTTTTACCTAGGTTTTTATCCTTGTCTTTCAATTATTGTTGGATTGTTCTTCAAGCAATGACCACGCCAACATGTGTATAAAGAAAGATGTCCTGGTGTATTTCTGTATTCTTGCCTGACAACTCTTCATTATTTCTTTCAGGGTCACCAACTTGATAACTTATTATAACTCCCGTAAATACCATTCCTGGTAATTACGCGGGTGTAACACTTGTATAAACACATTATCATTTAACTCTATTATGTAACATATTTATTGGATCACACATCTATACTACAATCACGAAAATAAATGGATTAAGTAACTAAGCGCTGCCATTTTCCCGACCGATATCCCGTCCCGCCCGCGCCAGTTTGCCGCGGGGGATGCGGAACGGGGCCCGGCTATTTCCACCCTATTTCCCATGATTCCCTTGCGTGCGGGCCGCGCCATTTTGTCCTGACGTCTCAGCAAACATATGGTTGCAGACCAGTAAATAAACTTCCATAGACCCCAATGGTAAATGCTCCCACTTCAGAAATTCGGGGAAAATACTCACAACTCTCCAAGGTGTTCGAGACACATATCAAATTAAAGCTTATTTCATCATCTTTCATTTTCTGTTCAATTTTTGGGGGGTCAACTAATGACTTTTAGGAGAAATTCCATCCGAAGATGATCACCCCGGGAAAATAGTCCTGAAGCCCATCGCCATTTTGAAAAACGATGCCTACATTCCATTGCAAAATAGAGCGCTTGAAGGGCCCAAATTTCAACCTAATTGAACGGAAATAAAAGCTCACAGTCCTGTGCACGGCTTCCACCCATATTTTTACAAACCCTCAAGTTCATGGCCCACAGCATGCTCAAATACTGAAGATTTTGAGGGCATGCAAATCGTGATTTGGCCGGCGTAGGCAATTTCGGACCGATTTACTGGTCTGCAACCATATGCACATGGTCGATTCAAACTGCGCGATGGAGGTGAGTGACGTGCCACGTATACGTTGCGTACCGTAATCCCACAGCCCGCACCGACGATGCTTCAGCTAAAGCATGCTTGCTTTTTGCCGCACACTTCCTCAGCACAGCATGGTGATGGTCGTTTGATGGGCGTTTGATGCAACAATTTTCTCTTTCAACGGTAAGTCCATTTTATAATTATGACATACGGTTCTCTCCTTTTATTATAGTCATTCTTTCTAACGCCACTGACAATGACATAAATCATGAGAAACATTTTAAATGTTGCCGTTTCCACATTGTTGTTTGTGAAAATGGCTCAATCGCGTAGGCCTCCTACATTGATTTTTTTCAAATCTCAAATAAACTCACCATTCGGGCCTCGGACATCGACAGTGTCTTAGTTTTACTCAATTAAGTAAACTTTTCCAAATCACACGCATTTCATAAGGTTCTGTCTTCTGTGAATCTGTCTTCTGTGAATCTGGCATCTATATTTCTGCCCAAACTTTGCCAAAATGAATTACAAACAAACTAATGCCATTTCAAATACGGTTCTTATTTCTGTGTACATGGTTAAGAATAATGAAACTTAATCAAAGAAATGATTGCTAAAATACAATATTGAAACATGCCAAAAACAAGAAGAATCATATTATGTAGGATATCACCGCTAATCTAACTTTCTTACATAAAAGAAAATTCCAGACAAACATGTCCCAAAGATGACATAATAAGAAAATAATGTTCTTCTAGCTCACTCCTATGCATAGACCATGCACTGAGTATAACATTTTAAGCAAAAGCATCCTCCTGTAACAGGGGATTAACGCCTCATAAACTTCAGAAACTGTACGCTGTTACGCCCCAACTATCGCATCGGTCCCAACTATAGTTGGACTGTCCCAACTATAGTGCGGCAGTTGGGTCGGCCCAACTATAGTTAGGACTGGAGTTGCGCTGGACGCTCGATAGAGGGTGTTAACGTTCCGCGGCGCTGGCACCATGTATTCGTCGTGCATGCATGCCGCAGGGCTGGCCGGCCAAGTGATACTGCCTAGTCATGCTAGTTGGATGAGTTGTCCAGCTAGCTGGGTTTTATAGTCCAGCAACATTTTTTATGCAAAATTCAAAGATTGGCGTTGCCCAGCTATAGATGGGACCCACCCATAGCTAATGTCAATGGTCCCAAGTAAAGTTGGACATGTATCAGAGCTGTAGGGGATGTTTTATAGTTCAATAACATGTAGTTGTACATCAATGTAAACTATAGTTGGGACCAAAAAATAAAAAAATCGGAGTGGCCCAACTATAGATTGGCCCCATCAATAGCTAATTTCAATGGTCCTTTGTAAAGTCAGACGTGCTGTAGTGAATGGTTTATTGTTGTACATCAATCTAAACTATAGTTGGGACACTGCAAAGTAAAAAGATTGGAGTGGCCCAACTATTGATTGAATAACCAACTTCAATGACTGTCCCCTAAAATAAAAAAATAACCCTAAAGGGGCCGGGGGGGGCGGAATCCCCCCCCCCCCTCAACATTTTCCGCGATAGCCTCTAAAAAAAATTTTCGCGACCCGAGGTGTTATGACTTTTTAGCCTCAAGCTTTGCGCATCTATTGATACCAAAAACATAAAAATCGGACCATGGGTTGCCGCGTAGCGAAAAACTTTCCGGCCCTACGCGCCGTAAAAACTGAATTTTTCCCATATACGTCGTGTATATAGAGCAGAATTGCCATTCGTACATGAATAATTAATAAGCTATAATTCCAAAACCCTTTGACCTATAGTCATGGAATTTCTTGGGTATGTTAAGAGTTGCTTTATGCTTGTACTGAGATGGTAAAAATAACCCGGCCCTTTTAGGGTTAAGACTACAACAAAGTTAGAACCTCAAGCCAATGTTTGGTTGTGTGACATGTTTGGTTGGTACTACAGTAGAACATTCTGCATAAATGGGGTATTGCGACACCTGAATGTCTCTCATTTTAATATTTGTAGCTATTGTTAGCCGATTTCATTTTACAAGTTTTGTTCGCCTTAGTCGTTATTTTTTTTGTTACTCCTTTACACAGGACTCCCTGACAACCACATCACGCGACCAGCTCCAACAAGCTCCAACCGCCATGCTCCAACCAGTACCCAAAGCAAGAATCTCAACTCAAGACGAAGACGTGCCGCGCCTATTCTTTCCAGTTACAACTGCAATATTCCTGCTCCTGCTCCTCACCCGGTCAAAACACATTTCTCTTCTAGCCATAATTTCATTTATAGAAGTCATGAAATAGTGCAAAAATAATAACTCTTTCCTGACGTTATATTTCCATCCTTTTTTATTGATATATTTGTGCCCTTGCCTTAGTTGTACCCAAGAATAATTATAGCATAAGTACCAGATAAATACTGGCGAAGCAGACTGTGTCAATCTGTGAAAACTAAAATCACTGCAGTAGACCTTTATTTGATAAACATAACATGTTTTTGATTAACGAATTACATAACCACCCTTAAAATTCACAATAAAATATTCATACTCGCATACCCCTTCATCATTTCTCATCAGTATTTATCAACACTCATTAAAAAACTGTTCTCCTGTAACTTACAATGCCCCTGTCATTATTTATGTTTACAGCTTTTCACAAAAGTAACTGTGACTGCACAATAAACCTTTGGCCGTCTTGCTTGAAAGTCTTTCATGAAATATTTGTGCCTATGCAACACAACTCTGGACCGACGTCCCTTCAATCAATCAATCTAGTTTTATTTCATAACTTCATAATGAAAACATATAAAGTACGTGACTTAATAGATAAACAAAACATAAAAGTAAATGACGAAGATAAGTAACAAAGATAACTGAAAAGCAGAGAAGTGATAAGGAAGTTGTAAGAAGTTCAAGGACTTATGAAACACTCCCTTTTAAACACTTTTAACATGTGGTGATAAACACATTTAATATGTGGTGCTTCACATATGAAGTGTTCCTTTATGTCCTTTCTTTTAGCTTTACTCTCTTCTACAAATAAAAGTGTTAAAATACTTTGTGGTACAACCCCTTCACCATAATTAATACCAACCCCTATACTGACATTAACTTCTACTTATACTACATAAGAAACACCCCCTCCACGGTCCACCATCACGAAAATAAATTGTTGCCCACTTCACCGGAAATATATGTGACCATGGTTACGGGTTTCACAGAAATTGGCCACCCAAGTATCCAACCCCACCCTCACTGGCTGCCCCCTCCTCCCCTCTGTAGTAAGAACGATGGATACGAGTTTCATCTAAATTACCTCATTGTACAGTTGGTGTATCCGTGCTTTTTTTTATTTGGCACCTCAAAAAAGTCTAAATTGACTGGATAATAATTCTAGCATAACGTTATTTATGAGCTTTCTAATGAGACATCGCACGGAAACATCGGTTGGCCTGGCAATGAGTACTCAATTTCATTCAACTGTTGAATTAAGAGGGGGACGTTCCTAATCAACGCGCCATTTAAAACCACATGAAAACCGTATAGTGTATGAATAATTGTTGATTAAAGGTTCTGTATGATTTGGTGTACAAGTAAAAACAGATCTTGTGAAGCATAATCCGAAAAGCGAAGTTAAATAGCAATCTTTGTGATTCTTGGATCTTTGCTTTGATTTACATTTGATTTACTAAAGAACTAGAACAATTTTCCGGAATTTTGTCCCGAAGTTAGCCTCATTGACCCATCTAGCATTGAGCGCCATTTTAAATGGGCTGCCGCAAGCGCATAGGCCGTGGTTGGCAACATATTTTTCCCAACAAAAGCCCCCATAACGCCCTTAATACATAGGGAAAAGGCATGTTTAGGAAAAAAATTGTAGCGTTGTTGATTGACACATTTTGTATTTTGAACAATCGAATAATATTTTGTTAATCTTTATTAACTATTCTTAACACGAAAACAAAGGAATGCCTGCACTAGGTATTAATTTGTACCATAAACGCGTGTGTATCAGATTGTGCCAGATTGTAAAACCTCAAGCTGCGCCCAATATGGCGTCTACAGTCGTGACTTGAACAAGTACCTCTGTGGAGCTCGCGTCATTCCAATATCCTTCCCTTTGATTTTACCATCGACTAAGAACTCTTTACCCATTAAGCCCTGGCCCCATATGATGAGTTTGTCGATATTCGGGGTATGAACGCCGACGATTTCAGCGATACCCCGGTGTACAACCAGGCCAAATGGAACGTCCTCCCAAATGTAACGGGACGTGAAGTCGGGACTCACACCGCCACCATCATTGTTGATGACGGGGTGACGCAAGCCTTCGAACGCTTTGTTGCTCTGCATCATCCGTAGGAGTGAGCTCTTGTCTTTGATGTCTTCGGGGTAGAACTCTAACATGCTGAAAATCAACGTTAGGTTACTATTATATCTGTTATTGAGTCTTTTTCAATGTCTTATTCCACAACTTCCAGTACATTTCACATATTCGGGACTTGCCACAACCAGGCGAGATTCAGATGCACCTAGGCATTATTGTGGGATACACAGCGTATACCAACTAACCTTGATATAAATCTATAGAATCATATAATCAATAATATGGAAAAGATAAAGGACACGGTAATATAATACTTACATATCAGAGATATGTTTGACATTGGACAAGTCGATATCAGCATTCTTGGCGGAGATGGCCGTGGCAATGGCTACAATCTCACCACTGACCCTCGAGAGCAGGTCCGCGGACGCTTGGTCCATGCCCTGGTAGAAGAGGGGGGCCTCTCTCACAGGCTTACCGTCCCAGTCATGCCATCTAAACAATTAGTGGACATTACTTTGAAAAAAACATTCTAAGAAAGAATTTACAAGTTGAAATTATCAAAATAGAAAAGCGTCCCTTACACCAGTGTCTTCAACCTATGGTTTTGCCCTAACGTCCGAAGGTTCGATAGTCCGAAGGTTCTTTAGTCCGAAGGGTCATCAGTCCGAAGTTTCGATAGTCCGAAGGTTCGATAGTCCGAAGGGCCCATTAGTCCGAAAATAGGATAAGGTTAATTAATCCGAAGGCTCAATAGTTCAAATAGACGATTGGGTGCGATAGTCCGAATCGACAATAAGATTCGATAGTCCAAATATGATAAGGTTCGATAGTCCGAATATACGGTAGGGTTCGATAGTCCGAATATACGGTAGGGTTCGATAGTCCGAATTGACAATAAAGTTCGATTGTCCAAATTGAAAATAAGGTAAGATAGTCCGAATTGAATAAGGTTTGATAGTCCGAATGGCAATACGGTTCGTCAATCTGACACTTGCATGGGACTATCGGACCTTACAGTTGATTCGGACTATCGGACCTGATTGTCGATTCGTGCTATCGGACCTTATTGTCAATTCCGAATAATGAACCTTTGGATTATTGAACCTTATTTCCGTTTCGGACTATTGAACCTTCGGACTGATTAACCTTATTCTAACTTCGGATTATCGAACCTTAGGATATTAAATGAAACTTCGGATAATTGAACCTTCGGATTAACGAACCTTCGGACTATTGCATCAAATGTTCGGATTAACGAACCTTATTTCATTTTCGGACTAACGAACCCCCTCTTAAGGAAAATGTGTGCATTCGGACTATCGAACCTTCGGAATAAAAAACCTTCGGACTATCGGGCGGCCCCCCCCCCCCCCGTTTTGACACGTTCATAGCAACAGTACAACTGTGACCTTCATCACAATGATATTTTGAGTGGACGTATATAGTAACATAAGCTATGACTGTTAGATTCACCAACAAATATGTTTGCATTTGTTGCAATCTTCTAGTTTATCTACATTGAAGAAAAAAAGACATTCGGGATCTTATACATACATGTCACCAATCAACTCACCTCCCATACATGATAGCAGAATGAATAATAGCATTGGTGTGGGTTAAGGTCATTCCTAGAAGGTCACCGTAGGCTGTGCATACTGGGCGGGGGCCAAGAGATTGCTGGATGGCTTTCAATGGGTCAACCTGTATATACATAACAATAACAAAAATACATTGTGATCACTGGCTGACAAGTCGCAATAAACGCATCAAATATGATCTGACTGATGTGCAGACTACTCAGTACAAATTCCAACAGCGCGCTGTCTTACATGTAGCTCACCTTTGGTTCCATACTGCCTTTCCTGATGGCACCAACGAAATTATCCTTGAAGCCAACGATGCCAACTCTCTTCCCATACTCCTTGATACGACAGTTCCATGGAAGAGTGTTGAAGTTGAACAATGTTATCCCCTTGGCTTTGTCCCCTGCACGAACAAAAATCATCAGTTGGTATCTTCAAAACAATATCATTATAGATTAGTTACCGGTGGTGTGGTATTTAAATTTTGAGAAAATCGCAATTTTCTACATACCCAAAATATTATAAGCTTGGAACTCCCAGCCAGCTGCACCAGGCATTCCTATGGCAACCATGCCTGGCTCCATATGAGGCTTCAATGCTTCCCAGTACTGCGCATGTGCAAACGCAGGAACAACAAACACGATGATGTCACTTCCTGGAACAGCTACTTTGGGGTCGTTGGTAATCAAGCCAGGTTTTGAAACAAACTGCTTTTCTTTTCCATCCTTGTCCGTGTAGTCGATCACGAGGTCTGAGCTTTCAAGAGCTTTACTCCAGCGTTCAGCCTCGTCTTGGAATAAGCTCATAACACGAACCTCATTTTCAGGGTTGCTGGCAGCGATACCTGGAAATTAATTTCCCGTCATCAATCATCATTGTTGAAACAGTACGGTATATGTCTATGCTGCTTAACGACCTATTCGTAATTTTGAACATGTATTTGGGGCGAGATGATTGAAATACAAATTTTTGAAAAGACGCAGAAACATTGTCTTCGTCAAATTACCTTACTAATATAAAGCCCACCGCACACGAGAGCTATCTGATGAGCAAAAAGTCATTCGAGGCCGTTTGCTCAGCACGTAGCTCACAAAATATCCCCGTGTGCGGTCAATTTTTGCTGCATGTTCTGCCTCGTGGGGCTGTGAGGCAAATATCTCCCCCGTTGGGTTTTTTTTTTTTTTTTTTTTGCCTTGCGAAGCGAAAAACTCACCCGTGTGCGGGCACACTGCGCTACGTGCTGAGGTAAACAAAATTAACTTGCCACTCTGTTCACGTGATTTCAAGAAGGCGGCCCCTACGAAATATTTTAGAGGACAAGCAGGTTGATTTATTGGCCAGATTATCCGTGTTTGTGCGATGTTCGGTCACCCGATTTCAAACATCAACCAGCTTGTCCTTTGAAATATAGTCGCTGACACACTCGCTGACACTTTCGTTGGGGGCCGCCATCTTGAAATCACGTACATGTACCTAATCGTATATGCATACAATGAACTGGCTAAGGGAAAGACAACAATTTTAGAGGACAAGATGGCGGGCTTTACAGTCCAAAATGTGTAAACTATGACAACATAACAATTAAGGTAGTAGATTTGAAATATGTCTATTTATAATGTTCGCTTTTCGCCATATACGATTAGGTACATGTACGTGATTGCAATATTTATTTGAATTCATTTTAAAATTTAAATAGCATATTTGAAAATTGGTTGTTCGCCGTGTTTGTCTCGTATCTGAAATTACTCTTTAAAAACTGAAAAGAAACTAGTTTCTAACTGTGGTTTATAAATCCTATCTTTTGGGAAATACAACCCCTTCTTCATGGCAAGTTCCAACTGAGCCTTTGAATGAGGGTTATTCAATGAATACAATGTAGGGGAAGGTTGCATAAAAGACCCATAAAAGATAAATAGAACAGACATCGATATAGTATAATTACATGCAGGCATTTTGATTTCGTTAGTAAAATGCGTATAATTTTGTATTTTCCGTACACTTTATATTGAATTACCCTACTTCCAAGGCTCATTCGGCACCTGTTCCTGGAGAAGGTGGTTGTATTTATCTCCCAAAAGCTAGGATTAATAAACCACAGTTCTTCTCAGTCCAAAAAAAATGGTGTCATTTCATGTTTTAAATTGATTTCATCCATAAAATCCCATGTATGTAATCCATTCAATTTAAAAGGAATAGTGGTAAATCACAACAATTCCAGCAGTGGTCCAGTCACGAGTGTAGGAAAACAAAATGAGGGCAGCGAGGACAGATGTACCACGGCTAAATATTTGTCTTATTGGGGTTTAAACGAAGCGGATCAAAACTTTTGAATCAAAACGGCTAATTGTTCATGTTTCTACAATCAGAATCGATCCCCATCGCGAAAGAGAGAGAGAGAAGGGGGAGGAGGCGGGGGTGTTACTTACCTGCGAGCACGTGGGCACCATTTCCTCCACCAAGAATCAGCACTTTCAGAGGCATATCTAAAACAAAGAACGCAGGTATCAGCTAGGATGAGTTGTGAGCTAAACTTACACAATGCAGGATTGAAACGTTTCATTTGCTATTGGGAGATTAAATTTGGCATGTATGACAATGTCTAAGATTAAACAAGTGCAATTTATTTAATCATTAATATTCTACCTCAACATTTGAATGAATAGAATAGAACAGAAAACATTTTCCTAATCCATCAAGGAAATCCATTTGCTCACCGGTTCGGAACAATAAATAATGAGTAGTTTACAATCAAAGTTATACAATTTTACAAAACACTACAAATTACAATATTATGAATTATAAAGTTTGCGAAATCTCTTCTTGGAAGAAGTGTGGTTCTGAAAAGAACCGGTTGGTTGAGTGTAGAACTCGACGTTTCGGACAGTGTGCTCTGTCCGTCCTCAGGAGGTTGAGTGATGAGATGTGGAAGATGCTGGAGCTTTTTGGAGAAGAGATTTTTTTCCACATGGTGTTACCCGCAAAACTCACTTTATAATTTATTTCATCCGACATGCAAAGCTTCAAGTCATATATAACAATATTACGATTAAGGTTATACAATACTGAATATAATCAATATCATACATATATACATGTATTCGTGTATGATATTGATATGCCGAGTCTATATACTACCCTTGGATATGGTTCACTGTATGTGTATCACTGTTTATCTCCGATTAATTAACTTGAAATTGCATGACTTAGTTCGTAGACGTACTGTGCACTAGGTGTAACAGAAATATATTACCCATAGTGTAGAGTATATGATGCACACAGTATAGGGTGAGTCAGAATGATCTGGACCCAAGTTCACTAATTCTTTTGTGGCAAATGGAGTATATTGAGAAAAAATTGACTGTTTCATATAAATGGTCATTACCTTGTTTTCCTCAGGAATTTTGAATTTTTCAAATGAGTGGCTGTGGTGAGGATTTACGCCATTTTCATTCAAATGGCTCATTTTCCAGTTTGCACACGGAATTGGGTTTGCTTTTTTTTTTTTTTTTGACAATAACTTCAATGAGTCAGTCACCATGACTACGTTTACATTTGTTATTACACACACACATCAGCATACGATTTCAAGAAATTTGTTGAACCATGGAACCGTGGTCACTTTTTAGCGTGTGTTCATTGCTAGCGCTTTTCTTCGAAATGGTACAATGGACATACTCGAAACATTCACCAAATATGCCCAAAATACCAGCCTATAACATATCTGATTTTCACTTGTTTTGATAATTGATACATATTTTTAATATCTTCCTCGATTTGGGTCCAAACCATTGTGACTCACCCTGTACATGTATACAGGTTTGAGCTACTTGCAGGAAGCATATGATCTACATGCACATGTAGGTACTATACTAGGCCAGAATTATAGCATGCACGTTGCTCCACCAGACCTGAATCAAATTATAATGATATATAAGCCCAAACAGAACACTTGAGCCATCGAGTTTGTGTATATAATTTTTCTCCATGTGGATGAAATTCAATACTGTTTGGTATAAATATCTAAAACTAGAAACTGCATACACAAATAAAATATTTTTTTGAATTGCATACCATCTGCAAAAGTTGTGAGCAGTCAGACTTGAACCTTGAATTTGTATTGTTAATTTTTGCCATTTTGTCGAAATGTTGTCTCTGAAGACATTCGAAGTTTTCATAAAGATTAAGATGAACCAATACTTTAAATTTGTGAATTGGAACAACATGGCTGATTGATAGGGGGGAATTTAAGGGTTACATTTCCATTAATTACAGCTTTTAACCAGCTACTCTTTGTTTACATGATCCTAGGAAGTCTTTAAAACAATAGATTTGTTCAGAACATAAAAAATGCATTGTAAAACAGGTCTTTAAGGTTAATATTAAAAGAAAACTGGGAACAGATATAGGTGGAAAATGTCTCTAGCAATTAACTTATGCAGATGAATGTAATATTTTGGGCTTTTTAAGATGGCGTTTTGTTCCAGTATATCATGCAACTGTGATGTTGTGTAGAATACAGTCACTTGCATAAAATATGTTGTAACCAATTACCCCCCCCCCCCAAAAAAAAGTATATAAAATAACTGTCATTGACTGAAATACTCACATATGACACACATTTATCGTTTGGTTGTAGTATTTACCAAGTCAGAAGTACTGTGGCTGTGTAAAAGCATCACTATTCAGAGCACATTCATGAGAATTGAGCGAACATTCTGCAAAATACCAATTCAAGTGTGAACCCGCATTGCATTTTGAGATGGTATACAACTAAAAAACTATTCCTTTTGTACAGTATGCATTTGATGCCTTTTAAAGACGGTGTCTCGTGGAGCTTTTTGGTCTGTAAAGCAGTCGGAGGATTTAGCCTTGAGTAAGGACACACATGCAGACCCTACACCATAAACCACTGTTTTATCAATCAACAGTCAGATCAAATAATTGACCACACAGTCCCCAGTGGTCAGCCTGGCTACTGCCAGCCACTGGTCGTAAACTTAATGGTTCCCATATGGATGGGCTGGGAGCTGAGGTTTCTTATATATAACTTATCCATATAACAATACACGTAGTCTGGCACAGCAGAGGTATTTGTGGACGTTCTGAAATGTGATCCTATTTCTTTGTGGATCTACTTGTCGGAAAGTTTTTTGGAACACTATAAAGACGGAGAATTAGTTTTTCCTTCCTAGGGTTTACCACACTCATCCACAAACTGTCCCCGATTATGTTTTAAACAATCATGCTCAACAAGGCAAGGGCAAATTCACCGAATTTTTTGGACTGTTCAGACTGGGGGAGGGGGGCATTTTATCTGCGAATCAAAGAGTCTGGTTTATTTGGTGTGATGAATGCTATTCATATACAAGATAATTAAAAGCGTATATAGGGCCTATGTACATTTCTATTATTTTCTTGTTATAACTGTCCCGATTGATATTGAGCAACGTGCAAATGTTAATTGTCATGTAATTGTGGTACTTGATTTAATCATTGATCTTATCGGTAAGATTGAAATACGAAATCTACACCGCAGTTGGGATTTACCCACATTGAGTGATTTTGTCCATGGGGTATGATTTGACCACACTGAAATTAATTCAAGCCATATTTCTATCGACTACATTATATGTGCATTATTTTAGGCATGACCATGTTAACCGGTTGTGGATGTAAGACACCATGTGCCCACAGGCATAACCCAGGTGAAAATTCCAGTTGAAACCAGTTGAACTGGTTTCAACTGGTTTCAACTGATCCCAGTTGAACTGGGAATTGGTGACTGGTTTTAACTGGTTTTAACTGGTATTAACTGGTTCAACTGGTATGAACTGGTTTAACTGGTATGAACTGGGCAACTGGTTTAACTGGTTTCTAACTGGGCAACTGGTTGAACTGGTTTCTAACTGGTTTCAAACTGGTATGAACTGGGCAACTGGTGTAACTGGTTTCTAACTGGGCCACTGGTTGAACTGGTTTCTAACTGGTTTCAACTGGTGCCAAACCAGTTTAACTGGTATGACCTGGGCAACTGGTGTAACTGGTTTCTAACTGGGCCACTAGTTGAACTGGTTTCTAACTGGTTTCAACTGGTGCCAAACCAGTTTAACTGGTATGAACTGGGCAACTGGTGTAACTGGTTTTTCAACTGGTTAACTGGTATGAACTGGTTTAACTGGTATGAAGTTTCCAACTGGTTCAACTGGTTTCCAACTGGTTTAACTGGTGAACATGGTTTCCAACTGGTTTCCAACTGGTTCACAAATGACATGAGCTGTTGCCAACTGGTTTGGAACTGTGAAGTCGTTTTAAATTGGTCTGTAGTTGGCATCAAACTGTCGTTAGCGGGTTGAAATGGTCTTGAACAGTCGGGCTGAGGTCTGTGGGTTGCTTCAAAGGCGAATACATGTAGTTTGTTGAATATATCCAGAAACATATTTTGTAATTGATAATAAAGAGTGATTATCCGGAAACAAGTATTACAAACGAGACAAAGGGGAGCAAAATGTTTTGGCAAATACTATACGTTGTATCTATTCGACACTATTTACAAAATGTGTATAATCATAATCAATGAAATATTATAATTGGCTTTTCAAATAAATAGATGCAGAAGTCTTGAACCATGAAAAACTATCAAGATGGTGGTGGAAGTTATTTTACACTTGATTTTTACAAGATTTTTTTTTATGGCTAGATGATTTTCCACAATCCAACTTACATGTAATTGAGGATAAAAGAGGGAAGGTTTTGGTTTGAGTTTAATGCCTCTCGCTTCATAATTAGGCCACAATCCACGCTAAAACAGTAAAGCTAGCCTATTCGTTTAAATTATGAAACTCGTCTCAATCTCGGTGAGTAAATTTACAGGAAACTTCAATGGCTTGATAAATCCAGGGCAATTAACATTCAGTCTCAGATCATCATCATATTGACAAAAATGGAGAAATGTACAGACCTGGGGAAACAGGTCCTGGAAGCACAGAACTTTCATGTACTGGTCAAGTTTTATCGAATCAAAGATGAAAAACATCAAAGCTGTAACATTGAAGCCTTGCAGAAATAACGTCACTGTTTTGATATCCAGTTCGCGTGCTTCAAATCGTCGCTTTGCTCACGAAGTGACAAAAACCTCGAAAATCGATAATTATTCGATTTTGAGTTTTACTGGCCATTTTATTATAGTTGTCTCAAGGAACAATTTCACCAAGTTTCAAGGCAAAATCTTGTTAACTTTCTGAATTATTGTAAACAAACAATTGACAAAAAGCCTGAAATCGGACATTTTCATTTTTACGAAGTGTAAAAAAGTGTAAAATGTTCTCACGAAGTGACAAAAAGTCACCTCGTGAGCAGGGCCGGAGGAATTATACATTGGTTTACACGCGGCGGGATGGGAGCATACACGCGCGTGCGAACGATGTTGAAAAAGAACAGACGCGCGCGTGCTCACCCATCGTATGACGCGCAAAAGTAACAAAA